TGCTCTACTATGAGCCTAAATTGCTCTTGGCAAAACTGTCTTTATGTGTTTAACTGGCCAAGGTATAATTTGTTTCATTTATGAACACAGGAAGATTTATCTGTGAATTAAGAGACATTGAAAAAGCTGATTTATTCTGATAATGATGTTAAGATTCTTTTTTGGTTTTGTGTGTGTGAACAATCCATTAGTTTAATAAAATTTAATTGAAATTGCTCATTAATACACCATTATAATTTGGACACATCTGCAAACATAACTGTTTTAGACTGTTCAGGCCGTAAAACATACCATACACAGGGAGGTTCAAACCTCAAGCATTTATTTCCTACATCTCTGGAGGCTGGGACGTCCAAGAGCAAGGTGCTGGCAGATTCAGTTCTTGGTGAGAGCCTTCTTGCTGGCTTCCTGGCTTGCAGAAGGTCACCTTTTTGCTGTGTGTACACATGGTGGGGAGGGACGAAGGGAGGGAGAGAGGGAGAGAACGACGGAGAGAGGTTTTTGATTTCTTCTCATAAGACACTAATCCCCTTATGGGGGCCTCACATCACGATCTCATCTAAACCCACGCACATACCTCCCCCAAAGCCCCACCTCATAATGTAACAGAGAGCAAACCTGACTCCATATCCGAGCTATGGCTTTAGCTCTAACCTTTGTGCTCTGTTTCCTGTGCTTACTCCTGCTGGCTCTGCACCCTGGAAAGGAATGCCGCCTACAGCCTGAAACACACATCAGAGCTCCTTTTCAGGGCTCTGACTCCCAGGCTGGACTATTAAAGATATAACAATTTTCATTCACATAGAGATCATTCTTCTCTTCTGGAGATTTATAGGAGAATGGTGACAAGACCTAGAGTGGACAAGACCGAAGGATATCACAGTCTGGTCAGCACCAAGAAGTCTGCAACAACCAGCCACATCCCCTACCCTTTCAGCATAAAAGAAGCCTGAATTCTAACTCGGGTAAGATGGTTCTTTGGGATACCAGTCACGTGGTGAGCAGTGTGAGCTTGGACTCGGTAACAATACCATCATATTAGGGGTTAGGGTTTCAACACATACATTTTAACACATAAACACTGAACTGAACTAAACAGAAATTTGGGGGAACACAAACAATCGGTCCATACAGTCAACATCCAGGAAACATGCTCCTGATCACTACCTTCTCTGTCCTTCTCAAAGCAACCACTACCCTGACTTCTGAACACCCCCACCCCCAGTAGTTTTGCTTCTTTTTGAACTTTTTATAGTTAGAAATATGCAGTCTATATGCTTTTGTCTGTGTGAGATTCATTCATGTTGTTATGTGTAATAGCAGCTTATTCGTTTCTACTGGTGTACAGTATTCCATTGCATGAATGCACAACTATTTATTCACTCTAGTTTTTCAGCTTTTGATGACCTGAAAATATAAATATTTTGGTACACATACCTAGGGTTGGGATTGCTGTTTCCCAGCATTTGCATACATTCAACTTTAACAGATTTCATCAAATGGTTTTATAAAGTGGTTGTAGCAATTTACACTCCTACCAACAATGTGTGAGAGTCAGTCATGGTAAAACCATTTATCCCACAGAAATTGGCAACTTCTACAAATCACACTTTCTTTCCTAGTGAGCCAGTTGTTAATTAGTTACCAGTACAACACTGCCAAAACCCACTGTCGCAAAAACTTCGTATGTTTTTCAATTCTTGGTATTATCAGTCTTTCCCTCCCCTCAAATCATAAACTATATTTTAGTTGAAAATTTTAATTGAATGCATTTTGACTCTAATATAAGACAGAATTTAGAGGTATTATTTTTATTTTATTAAGATCAAAACTATTATAACATTTTAAATCAACTATTCTCTAATATTTTTTTTAAAAGATCAGATATACAAGCAGATGTCTTTTACTTTCTATACACATATACCCCTCAAATTTAAAAATGATAAACTTACTTTTCAGTCTTTTCAAAATCATGCATGCTTTTATGAAAAATTTAAGTTTTATTGACTCAGCTAGGCTTTTTTTTTTTTTTTTTGCTCTGCAGCATGCGGGATTTTCATTGCCCAGCCAGGGGTTGAACCCCTTGCCCTCTGCATTGGGAATGCAGGGTCTTAACCAATGGACTTCCAGGGAAGTCCCAAAACCATGTATCTTAAAGTCAAGGATGAGGAAAAGACAGAACAACCTTACATTATTGGTGCAAGTGTTAACTGGTACAACGACTTTGGAAATCTCCCACAAATTTCCTAAAACTAAACATACATATACCCCTGACCAGCAAGTCTGCTCCTGACTATGTGCCCAGTGGAAATGCGTGATTCTGTCCACCAGAAGGCGTGGGGGAACGTGTCCACAGCAGCCGTCTTCATGGTCACCCACTCCGGAAACAACTCGCAAGTCCAGCGGCAGCAGAAGGGGAAACGCACTGTGATGTGTCCACACAGTGAGACATTACACGGCAAGAAGAAAGGAACAATGTATGGGCAGTATAACCGCAGAGGTGAACCTCACGCAATTCTGACCAAAAGCAATCAGTTGCAAGAGGCTATACTGCACAATTATTCCAATTACAGGAAGTTAAAAACTGGCACAACTAACCAATACAGTGGGAGAGGCAAGGTAGAGGTCACCCATGGAAGTGGCACCAACGTTCAGGAGCCACAAGAGAGCCTTCTGCAAGGCTGGACTTACCCTATATTCTTGATCTGGGTGGAGATTCTATGGGATATATGTATTTAAAATTGATATTGTACTCACTACTGTATCTAAATTATATGCCAATAAGATGAAAAAAGATAAGTGACTGCCTGCTATTAAGAGAGATGTTACTGAGTCAGATCTTTATGCCAAGTGCAGCTTTAGTCTTATGCTATATTTCACTGATATTGCAGTGTAACATGAAAATACTCTTTGTGGTTAACTGTGAATAATTCTTGATATCATGATTATGGAAAGATTCTTAAATAAATGATCATTAAAAGACATATGTTCCTCATAAAAATCAATGCATAACATACTAAAAAAAAAGGTTTTTTAATTGCCCCAAATGCCACTACCCCAAAACAATCATCTTCAACCTAGTTCAATATCATTTCTGACACCCTTGAACTTGTGTGTGACCGACTGTGTCTATTTCTATCACATCTTGTCAACATAACAATAGTAGCCACATAACTTGGATCGATTATTAATATCTGAATATTCAATTTCAAATGCAAGTGTTATTTGAGATGTAGTTCAGTGAAAATGTACTTCTTTTGCTTTATATGTTGAAATTCTATCAGTCAGTTGAACTATAAATACATATGTCATTTTTCATGAGCAAAATGCTATTGTAATTGATGATGATTTGAAAGCTGTTGATTGTGTACAAAAACACTGACAAGGAACTTTCAGATAATTTAACATGAAAATAGGTTGGTAGTTAATGCAGTTTTTCAGACAAAGTACGTTAACTAGGTATCTTTAGAAAGAACTTTATATTGTTTAAAAGTCAAGAACTGTTACGGTGCAGGCACAAAAATGGACACAATAGATAAACAGCACAGGATAGAGAGCCCAGAAATAACCCCACACACGAGTGGTCAGTTAATCCACCACAAAGGAGGCAGAAGTATACAATGGGGAGAGACAGTCTGTCCCTAAGTGCTGCTGGGAAAACTGGACAGCCACATATGAAACAATGAAATTAGAACATTCTCTAACACCATACACCAAAAGACACTCAAAATGGATTAAACATCTAACTGTAAGACAGCATACTATAAAACTCCTAGAGGAAAACATAGGCAGAGCACTCTTTGACATAAATTGCACCAATTTTTTTTTTGATCCACCTCTTAAAGGAAATAAAGGCAAAAATAAACAAATGGGACCTAAAGAAACATAAAAGCTTTTGCATAGCATAAGAAACCACTGACAAAATGAAGATGACCTACTGAATAGGAGAAAATATTTGCAAATGATTTGATCGGCAAGGGATTAACATTCAACATATGTAAACAGCTCATACAATCTGACATCAAAAACAAAAATCAAACAACCCAATTAAAAAATGGGCAGAAGACCTGAATAGACATTTTTCCAAAGAGGAACTGCAGATGGCCAGCAGGCACATGAAAAGATGCTCAATATCGCTAATCAATCAGGGAAATGCAGATCAAAACTACAATGAGATATCATCTAAAATCTGTCAGAATGTCTACCATCAAAAAGAACATAAATAAAAAATGTTGGTGAAGATGTGGAGAAAAGAGAATCCTTGTACACTGTTGGTGAGAATGTAGATTGGTATAGTCACTGTGGAACACAGTATGAAGCTATCTCAAAAGACTAAAAGTGGAACTACCACATGAACCAGGAATTCCTCTCCTTGGTATATACCCCTCCCCCCCAAACAACACTAATTAAAAAGGACACATACATCCCAATGTTCATAGCAGCATTATTTATAATTGCAAAGATGCGGAAGCAACATAAGTATCTATCAACACATGAATGAGTAAAGAAAATAGAACTTTATAGATGTGGTATATATACCCCATCTCAGCCATAAAAAAGAATGAAATGTTGCCTTTTGCAGCAACACAGATGGACTTGGAAGGCATTATGCTAAGTGAAATAAGTCAGACAGAGAAGGGCAAATATTGTATGATACCACTTATAGGTGGGATCTAAAAAAATACAACAAACTAGTGAACATACCAGAAAAGAACAGACTCACAGACACAGAGAACAAACTAGTTGCCAGTAACACTGTCTGTAAGAGAGAAGGAAGAAAGGAGCAATTCCTACGCCCTTTGGCCACAGAATGGATGGTCTGTGGTGTATTCGCACATAGAATACTACACAGCAGTGAAAATGAAAATGATACTCCTTTTTGTACCACAACCTGGCTAATCTTCATAATTATAATTTTGAGTGGAAAAGCAAGTGTCAAAAGACTACTCTTTTCACTAAGACCAAAAGCAAATAAAACAAAACAGTATCTTATTTAGGCATCAAGAGATGTGATAAAGCCCTCAGATATTTGTGACCTCTTGGAGGAGGCATGAGTATTGCATGGGAGAGGAGTGCAGGGCAGACCTAAGTTACTTACTGATGATAGTTTAGCTCCTGGGATGAGTACCAAACTCATGGGTTCTCATTACATTGTTTTAAAAAATAAAATCAAGAAATGAATAGTCCTCACCATATATCACCCTTTACTACTAATAGGATTTTCACTGCCTTCAAACTCAACCAGAGAGGATGACCAATCTCACCCCTAAGGACGCCAGACTCTCATTCCCTTCAGCGTCTACTGCTGCAGCTATTTTTGGTGTGAATCGCTGTATCGGTGAAAGTGCTTTGTGCAAACCACGGAATCTAATACTCAGTTTAAAAAGAAAGGGGTGTATCACAAGGTTCTAGGTACTGTGGGGGCTTCCCTGATAGCTCTGTTGGTAAAGACATCACCTGCCATGCAGGAGACCCCGGTTTGATTCCTGGGTGGAGAAGATCGGCTGCAGAAGGAATAGACCACCCTTCCAGTATTCTTGAGCTTCCCTTGTGGCTCAGCTGTTCAAGAATCCACTTGCAATGTGGGAAACCTGGGCTGGATTCCCGGATTGGGAAGAGGCCCTGGAGAAGGGAAACGCTACCCACTCCAGTATTCTGGCCTAGAGAATTCCATGGACTATGGTCGCAAAGAATTGGACCCAACTGAGCGACTTGCACTTGTTCTTTCCCCTAGTCTGGCTCACCTCTCCTGTCACCTGCATGACCGGCATCCTTCTCGATTCCACCATCCACTATCCACATGGCGGCCAGGGTGGTCCTTAGAACACAAACATGCCACCACCTGCCCCACATGCTTAGAAATCTCCCCTGGTGTCTCCCTCGGCCTTCTCACTAAGTTCCAGCCACACTGGCTTTTGGGAATGACCAGGTCCCTGGGCAGGCCACCCTCTTTCAAGACTCAGGACTTTGGCACATGCTGTTTCCTGCAACTAGAATGCTCTCTGCCCACAGTTACTTCCTCGCTAAAACCTGCTTCTTCAGGTTCCAGCTGAAGAGTCTCTTCCTCGGAGAGAATTTCCCGGATTTCTCAATCTACCAATGTTTTCAGTGCATGATTCTCTCCCCCAGTGTGGTGTTTTCCTTCACGGCACGTACTCTGACCCGCTTTACCGGCAATGAACATGTGCTTTCTGCATGACATTGTTGGGGGCCACGGGGGCAAACCTCTTGATTCTGCTGTTTACAACTGAATCACCTGAGCCTTTTATCAGCTCATAACTACTGAGTGCATATCTGTTGCAGGAACAAATGAAGGACCTGGGAACCTGAGTGCAGGACTTTCCATTTCCCTTACATTTACCGCAGACATCTCGCACATCAGTTCCTCGTTCATCAGCATCTATCCTTAAACACAGTCACTGCAAAGTGTTCCTACAGTTCTGTGTCCTCCACACACCCTAACAGCACGCTACTGATTTCTACGCCCAACTAACCGATGAAAACACTACCGAACAAGGCCAGGGACGCAATCTCAAGCTGCAGAGATACTTCTCTCCAGGACGAGCTCTCAATAACTCACTTTTCCTCCAGCAGTCAGTAGTCTTGCGTCTTACTCTTCACCAATCGCAGGTCCTCTGAGTCTGTTCTTCAGCTCAAATCCTCCTCTGTGCCACTCCCGTGCGTGGCTCACAACAGTCCGCACCTCCAGAGCCCTCCAGCCCACCAGGCTCTAGTGTTCTGCAGCACCAGTGCCCAGCCCGCTTCACTCAGGCTTTCAGAAGTCACTGCCACTCCTGCTAAATTTGCAAACTGCCTGTTCTCCCTTCAAACCCACTAAGGCCTCACCTGGTGAAAACAAGCAGCGGAAACAACACACTTCACTCGTTAGGTCTCTTACTTGCTCTTGTGCCATCTCTCTTGGATCCACCCTAATTCCGTTCAAGTCATACCAGTCAGACGAGAAGTATTTATTGAACCCCTACCATGTGCCAAGCACTATTTGGTCCCTAGAGACATAACAATCATTAACACAAATCCTTCTACTTCTGTATAGCTGGGGTATGATCAGGCTCACAGAGAATTAAAAAAAAAGAAAACATATCCAAAAACTAATGCTAAGATGACCTGACATCAATATCATATTTCTTAAACTGTTTTAGAATATCAACTTACCAACTTTCACATCAGGTAGGTTTTGCTCGTAGAAAGCTTTCATCTTCTCCAGAACTTGCCTTGGTCCATCCTCCTGGAACATATAAAATCACACTCATTAATTCCCCCACCAAGTTTGTAGCAATACTCTATGCTTATGTACCTTATGAAAAACCAATAGTCCTTCCACACCTACTAACATGGTTATAATGACAAGTGTTGCAGAGGATGGGGAGAAACTGGAACACTTATTCAATGCAGGTAGGAATGTAAAATGGTACAGCCCTGTAGAAAAAAGTCTTGTGGGTCCACAAAAAGTCAAATATCGAATTCCCACATTATCCAGCA